TTTTTTCTGCCGTGTCCGGTCTGAGACCGGGTTCTGCGCTGGGCTAAACACAGGTTCTGCCATCCAAGGAGCTAAACATCATTCTCACTTTCTCACTCTTGATCTTCCGCACAGGGCTTTGAGGCCCCACATCTTCGTCCAGCTCCAGGAAGGTCTTGTGCACCACCACTTTCGGCACCGGAAACCTCGGAAAGGTTCGGAGGTCGGAGGCCCATGGGTGGACCGAAAAAGACGTGGTGCAGGATTGCAACAGAACTGATCTTTAAGTAATTTTCAATAACTGTACACAAATATGCAGTAATATCTATATCAAACACAATTATATATACACATTACGCGTGTGTATATAACTTATATATATATATATAGACATCACCAAAACAAGTCATGCAAGGTCTCAATGCCGTCTTGCGACTGCACTGTCTTGCGACGCCCCAAAACATCAAAAACCCAAAAAAATCACGAAAATCATGTACGGTCTAAACACTGGCTTGCGCTGAGAAACCAATCGGAGGGTGGTTGATCTGGCCTCTCACAGAAGCCTCATGTCCGCAGCTCCGAGTTCCGAGGCGTCGCAGCGCGGGTTTCGTTCCCGCCAGGCTGGAGCGTGCTATGGCCAGGAGCGTGCTGTTTCTCCCAAAACGGATAAGACAATTTCTCCGTCCCAAAGAACACCCCCAATTTATTGAGGACCCCGAAATGAATCGTTTCACAACTACACCTGGTGGTTCTACGGTAGTCTTCAACTGCAGGGCTCTAGAACGAAATTTCTGGATATGATGCTTGATCCAGTGCTATGTGGGCGGGGCGTTCTGGAGGTCTGCCACAAGTTTAGAGGGAAGCTGTGAAGGAATTTGTTGGGGAAGGAGTGGCACCTCAACAGCCTCAAACACACACTCTGACATTGGTTTGCAGTTAACTCAGTTCCCACGTTGAGAAGGAAGGTGATGGAACCGCAAGGTGAAAAGGTCGGCGCAACTGAAATTGTTTAACAAACTGTTTACTCATCTGCAGAACGCGCCCCTGCCTCTTTTTTCTGCGTTGAGAAACTAATAGGTTAGTAGTGATACCAGGAGCCCTTAGTAGCGTGTAAACCACCATGGAAGCAAACCAAGGAAGATTAGGGTCACAGCGTGGTCAACAGTTTGGAACAGGTACACAGTGGGGCGTCCCCCACTGCATCAGCACCTACTGGCATCCTCTTCGTTGGACGGGAAATGCCAGTGGTGCCCCGTCCCCCTGCGAGAGAACCGGTGGATCCTTAGAAACAGGGCTTGACACACACACACAAAGCCGTATTCGGCGCGTTCTCCCTTGCTTGCAAAGTAGTAGCGAGGCCAGGGGCCTCTAGTAGCGTCCTGACTCCCCGGAGAACTTTTGTACAGAAAGCGCCAATATTGGCGCTGCGAAAAACTATTAGCCACCTAAAAAGCCTTAGAAAGACAGACAAAGCAAAAAAAACAAAAGCAGACTAAGAGGGCAAGAAAGAAAGATAGGGGTAGTTACGAGGCCCACTTAGTTAAATGAAAGTAGTTCGCGAGCGGGACATTTGTCTTAAACCGCCCGGGTAGCTAGCAATAGGCTAGGAGAAACAGAAGGAAAGGCACCAACACACAAGTGTGTTGAGTGCGATTTGCTTCTGTTGCTCGAGTAGCGGGTGGGATAGCAAAGGAGGCCCAGGGGCAGGGAGGGGGAAAAGAAGCTGCACGATTAATTCGTCCGGCCTGTGAATACTTAGCAGCATGACATGGACATGTGAATACTTAGCCGTAAAAGAAGCTGCACGACTGATAAAAATTCGTCCGGCCTGTGAATACTTAGCAGCATGACATGGACAGGTGAATACTTAGCAGCATGTCAAGGACATGTGAATACTTAGCTGTATTCCGTGGTGGTGCAAGTGAAGTAAGTTGATGGCATTCCGTCGTTTATAGCCCGGCAGCTCGAGAAACAGTTAATTCAGTTATACAAGTGGAGAAAGTGAATTCAGTTATAAAAGTGGAGAAAATGATTTCCAGCGTGAATTCAGCGCCCCAGTGAAGGGGATCACACCCAGCACCCAAGTGGGACGGCTGAGCGGCTCACACTCTGACATTGGTTTGCAGTTAACTCAGTTCCCACGTTGAGAAGGAAGGTGATGGAACCGCAAGGTGAAAAGGTCGGCGCAACTGAAATTGTTTAACAAACTGTTTACTCATCTGCAGAACGCGCCCCTGCCTCTTTTTTCTGCGTTGAGAAACTAATAGGTTAGTAGTGATACCAGGAGCCCTTAGTAGCGCGTAAACCACCATGGAAGCAAACCAAGGAAGATTAGGGTCACAGCGTGGTCAACAGTTTGGAACAGGTACACAGTGGGGCGTCCCCCACTGCATCAGCACCTACTGGCATCCTCCTCGTTGGACGGGAAATGCCAGTGGTGTCCCGTCCCCCTGCGAGAGAACCGGTGGACCCTTAGAAACAGGGCTTGACACACACACACACACCCACCGACTGTGCTTCCACTAGACTGTATTTATACCAAACTGACCCAAGCCAACCATCAATCCAAGAAACCAAGAGACTGGATGTTCATTCATCAGGATTCATCCTTGCTGATTCATCTATAATTCTTCCATGTTACATCCCGCCTCCCAGCACCATGAGCTCTCTACGACCATTATTCTAGCGGCGCGCTGGGGCATCTTCCACCAGGCTGGGTGCGGCGGTGCCGCCATTGCCACGGCGATAGGCGGCCTTTTGGAAGGTGAAGGCTTGATGAAAGCGAGCGCGCACCGCCTCCTGGGGCTGTGCTGGTGGGCCTGGTGGAGGCTCCACCACCAGGACAGGATTGAAATGGATTGATGTAACATACAAGGATGATATAAGGAATACCAATGAATAAATAGGTCGGATGTACATCCTTGTACAATGGATTGATGTAAATCCTTATATCCGACCTTATATTATATATATATTATACAGTATGTACATCCCCGGTCGGTGTGATTGGCTGCGATGAGAATTGGAGGAATTGGAGCTTTGTGGTCGTTGGATGTCTTCGGTGGGCTCTTGGAAACAGAAAACTTCGATTGAACACGAGGGAGTGGCGGAGTGGTCACACCTATATATATATATATAATGCCAAAGTCATCTCACCACAGTATATATGTATATGTCTGGCCGAGGCCAATCTGATGATCAGGCGGATGAGTGGTCGCGCCTCAGGCCATGGCCTGATCCTCAAAACCCTCTACTAAGTGTAGGGCCAGCCTTCAGCCTTCTACCTCAAAGGTCCCTGGCATTGCAGTGCCACCTGTGCAGCTTCTCCCAGGTAAATGTTCACATGGCACAAACACTGGGCCCTAGGCTCTCCAAGTTTAGGCCATGGTGGCCATGGACATGTGCAAAGAAGGGGCTCCAGAAAAGCTGCAGCATAGGGGACTTCGATGGTTTCACTCAGCTTAGCTGGGCGCGTGCCTTGAGGCATTCCACTAGTAAGAACATCTGTTGAGCAAGCCCTACTTGCTTCGTTTGTAGAATCGATGGTCTGCCTTCAGCTATTATATAGACATTGTCTACTTACAACGAACGGCAAGTGCCGCAACATTGCCCAACATGACTGAACAAGGGTCCAAGTTACTTGTACAACTGATACATATTAAATTACATATACTGATTCAATCTGATTCATATGGATTCTATGAATTTCCCACTCTATCTGGGACGTCCGATGGCTATTGCTTGCGCCACGCCGGTCCCGTCGGGTCGACTGAAACGGGTCGACCGGTCCCGAGTGTATCCGAGTGTCCCACTTCTCGCGCAGCACCACGCACTGGTATGGGACCAAAAAGTGTGAATCCAAGGACTCGTAAGCCACGAAGCCCTCGAAGGGTTCGCCACCGGGGCTTTTTTGGGCGTGGGGCGTGAAGCAGCGAAGGGCAGCGAAGGCGTTAAGCAGTGGGGGGAACGAGGCGGCCGACATCTCGGATGGTCCAAGAAACTCATATATGTGTTGTAGATTAACCGCCCATATGAATCCAAATCAAGAGGTTTAATTACAATCCAAAGGAGGGGTTTCGTTATCAAGGTGAGCATGGAGGCTTCCAGAACCTGTACGCTGGAAGTGGCACTTTGATCCTTTTGGAAGGCGAGACTTGGCGCCTCTCCGGGAGAGGCACCCTCCTCGACCCCGAAGCGAGACGTATGATGTGGATACCTATAGAGTGGTAGACTATGACAATGCGAAACAAGAATGCACGAAACTCCTGTGCGAATGAAAACTCAACCCAAGTGAATCAAATTGAGACTCCTGTGTGAAACAAGCAAAGATAGGTGGAGTAGGCCGTCTGTCTCACAAAGAGTTCGTCAAGAGGTTGTTTCTTTATAGTAATACGCCTCCGCAGGAGACGTATATAGACACATGTTTGTATATTTTGATTCGCTGAAACCATGGGTTACGTAGTAGCAACATGTAGCAACTGTTATGGACGAAGTGAGGATTTTCCACTGCAACGTTGGTAAGTCAGCATGCTCACCCAGATCCCAGTTTTGAGGAGCAGTGAAAAAGTACCACCGAGGAAGTTCAACTTCAAGCGGTGCAAGGCAAACCACGTACACCTAGCTTTCAATAGTCTGACTTGAGATAACTTGCACAGTAGCAAGTATACCGACTTACACTTTCGAGCATCGTGGTGAGGGTTGACAAAAGAAAGCGGAGGGAAGGAAAAGGAAGGAAAAATCCAGAACAGGAATGGGCATCCAGAAAGCGCTGCTGCATCGCGTTTGTACAGTGTATTGAGGCTTATTAGAGATCTAATAGAAATCGCGATTCCAAAGCACTTGGCAAAATATGCAATCAATCCTTCTTGTCTGGAGAATGGAACCCAACAACATCTCGATATCTTTTCAATTCCAATGACATCACAAAACTAACTTGATCATCCATGTCGTTCATTTCGATCGTACAAATGCCCCCTGCCCCCCAAGAAAAACACACGAACAGCTTGATCCAACAATCTATCATGTCGATGGATGAAAAACACACCCTTGCCCACCTTGATTTTGAGCTGTTCCATGAATCGCTGCAAATACTGAGCGAGATGGAACTTCCCATCCACATGGTGCCCATCGAAGCGCACCCAAAACGACAAGCCCAAGTCCTGCCACACCGAGCCGAGCAGAGTGAGCTCGCGGAGCCCGGACCGAGCTGCCCGGGACCGAACAAAGGCATCGGATCAAATGGGTTGGACGTTGACCTGCCAGACTTACAACAATATATCTATACAATACTATTTATATCATACCTAACTTAAAAACATATATATATATAATATGAGGGACGGTCAAGACTCCTTATTCTTCTTCAAAAAAATGGACGTAATCGGTTTTGAGTTGGACCTTATCGTTTTACAGTGTTTCGAGTGCGTCGCATACTTATGATCATACAGCGCCGGGGTTATCGGTTTTGAGGTGGACATTATCGTTTTGCAGGGTTTTGTGCACAAACCTACCCCTCTTTACTAAAGTGGTCTTCGCATGCTTTGACCGTGGCTCATATATATTTCATCGTATCTAACACTGTATCTAACCTATTCTTCTATATATATATATACAGCAATTCCAAAAGATAAGAAGACCATGCTGCACGACCCTGCCGATCTCCGTCCTCGCCAGCGGTCACTGTGATCGCTTTCACGCCATCCACGTGGTCGGTCTCGCTGGGCAGCAACGGTGGGCCCCGGTTGTAGCTCCGGAGGGACCTCGGAACCAGCAGCACAGGTGATGTCCGACCAAATGAACGAACCATATCTTCGACATGCCTTTGTCTTCGTCTCCATTTCTGGTCGTGTTCATATCATACCTAGATCTTCCAACTATGCAACATTTCTACCTCTTAAGCTGGTTTTGTGGATGAAAAGGCAAACATTTAGCATAGTTGGAAGATCCAGGTATGTCAGTCGTTTTTCTTATCTCTCTCTCTCTCTCTTGCGCGTCTGAGTCTGGCTGTCAATCAGCCGGCCCAACTCGGCGGGTGAAACCGCCATATGATGGTTTTTGGAGGTTTCTGATCTATTCAAGAGAAGCTTCATTCCTCCGTTTGGGGGAGCGCCCACACGCATCTAAAGCCCTCTCGTCTAGTCTCCTCAAGAGATTTAGCCGTCCCAATGTGAGACGCATAGCATACTTGCTTGGGGCTCTGGGTGGAGAGCAAGCTGACTGTTTCAGTACAGAAAATGATTGAAAGCGGCCTCTATGGCTGGCATGTCCCATCTGATTAGTCCACTCCTCCTCTGCCTGCTACGAAGCTTTTCCGAGCCAGCTAAGGCAGAAACGATCCGTCAAGACGACGAAGAAATACGATGGGTGCCATGGGATTTGTAGACTTTCTTGTCTGATTTGCTTCCTCCTTGTGCACTACAACTCTGTATATACTGCTATCTACTGCTGAGAGTCCATGAGAGTTCCCAACAAATCTGCTGAGAGTCCCGTGGTGGGAAAGCACAACATCAAGACAACCAGTACTCGAAAACACTTTGTTAAACACATGGCAGCCAACATGCATGCACACCCCATCGACAAACATTTGATGAACATGGACAAACATGTCTCCACTGGACCTGCTTATATCATTAACGCTGGAAGGCCGGAAGCGCCACATAGAACTGAACCGCCGCCGAAGTATGCTTGAACTAGGCCCAGGCGCAAAATGCAATAGAACTTGCTATTCAGTTGTCGCACGAGCTTCACACCGGGCCGATTCAAGTATGACTTGATGGCGATGCTTGCCGTGTCCGTCAACAAGCTGAAGAAGGGCGTGGCCCAGCGAGCCCAGCGATCTTCGGGGGTGGTGAAGGCCACGATGATCTGAGGATGCGCCACGCGCGCACGGATGCTTGGAGTGGCGAACGCGGACGAGACAAATCTGAAACCAAACCCATCCGGACGATCTCGGAACTTCAGATTGGGTGAGGGGTTCGAGCCCAAGCACAGAAGAATAAGAAACAAAGAACTGACTTTCCGTGACTCTCCTCAGTTTAGAACCAAAGCGTGGCACGTTTTGGACTGGAAGTGATTTGAGCTCCATCCAGACCTGAAAGTAGTCTGGGCGCCCAGTGCCACGCGCAATCACCATTTGCTCTTGCCCAGTGCCATGGTTCTCTTGGAAACATGCATAAGTGCTGCTTCCTTCTTCAGGACAGTCCGTCCTGAGCTGATGTCTGGCTAAGATGGGCTCTTCGTTATAGAAGCATGAGTTCCTTGGCTCCGTTGCGGCTCATCCCGGCGTGCACATACTTGGTCCTAGTGAAGTGATGTCACCTACTTCTGGAAGGCTTCCCCAGCCATAGTGGAAGGCTCCTCATCTACCGGAGCCTTCCAAAGATGTGCGTCCACTTCAGTTCAAGAGCATGTGGGGATCCTCCATCTGCTAGTTTGGGGACCCTCTCCTGCCGGGCTTGTGATTTGCCGACTGCATGCTCATGCCGGACCTCCACATACCCTCCCATAAGTCAAATGGCACGCATGAAAGCTAGCCGCCAACGGCACAAAACAATGACTGTTCCCTTCCACCTTCCACCAACGGTCAAGCAGCATCCGACTCTACAGGTCACCAAGCAGCATCCGACTCTACCTGTCTGTCGTCCGCTGCTGGACTGGCTTTGAACTGTGAAAAAGCGCCCAACCATGTGTCATATAGCTTTTTTCCAGCGAGCATCGAGTAAGGGCCCGAAAAGTCTCCAAAAAGGAGCGCGGCGACGCGAAGCAAAAAACAGGTATTGGCCTGTTCCACTAAAGCATCACCAGGAGCCAAGGTCTCCTAGAATGGTCCGATCAATGCGGCGGAGACATCGGCGAAGTTTCCCAGTTTCCCACCTTCTGGAGAATTCCCCACCTTCTCGTGCATGCATTATTGGTTCAATACGGAATGCCTCTGCAAGCGAAAAGGTGATATACTATGTTGAAATAACATGAACTAACTAATACGTGACTACCAGGACCTTCCAAGAGGTGTCTAGCAACAGCCTCTTAGAGGTGATTCGGGGTGCCCAATGGTGCCACCTCACCAGGAAGGTCCTGGTATACTGATACTTCACAATGGAAGACAGCATGGCCCCCGAATGGATGACGAACTGATTCCAAAACAGGTGGTTTCCACTTCGACGTTCAGGGTCGGACCGACGACTGGTTGGCGCCAATATCCGGGCGCGCTTTGCCCCGGTGTAGAGCCGGTACTGCCGTGGCAGAAGCGGGTGTTTATATGTTTTTAATAGGGGTCTTGCCATGTTTTCATGGCAGGACACTCTCATTTCTTGAGCCATGTGTGTGGGTCCCTGTGGTGTTCAAAAGGTTTAGTGCGTGAATTCAGCTCCCCACATGATCAGAAGAGGCATCCGCTTTTGACACCCCCACGCAGACTAGCACAGACCGTGAACATGCACCCCTGCAAGACTATTCTCATCTGCACCCAATCATTTTCAGTTTCCATGTGGTCCTCCACAGGAGGGCAAACATGTGACATTGTGGCGCTCACGCCGTGGGACACACGGTAGTGGCACCGTGGGCCAGTCATCTTTCGAATCCGAAGACCGAACCAACTCCTTCCAGTCGATCCAGCATTCCTTGCAGCCTGCTTCATGGAACTGAGCACGGACCTCTGGCCTGACCAAAAGCTCCCGTGCTAGGGCTGGAGCGTCCTCCTGGCGGGGTGATGGGATGAGTTCTTCATTCGTTTTGGGAAGAAGGAATGGGGATGCTCCACCAAAGGCCTACCAGGTAGGCGCTAAGATCTGACAAACATGAAGAACACCGGTCCAATAATATTGCTTTCCTAGCCAAACTACATCTGAGTCTGAATCAAAAAACAAATATATATATATATATAAAGACTTCATACATGACTAGCAGGACTAGAAAAACAAAGGATCTGGCCTGAAAGGAACACACTATTAATATAGATATATATATATATAAATACAAGACAATGATTATAACTACTTAGGATCAAAAGGAGGCAAAGCACAAAATACTTACGAATGCTCTGAGACTTCACTCGGCACTTGACAAGTCAAACGCTCATAGATCTAAACAACAATCGCAATACCAATGTGCGCAAAGGTGAGCTGCATGTCATTTTGACGTAGCACAGCTCCAATATGCTGCGTAGATGTGAGCTGTCCCGCATGCACGAGGTCTTGGATGCAAACCAGGCACGATAAAGACCTCTTCGACGTTGATCTTGATCAAATGCCCATTCCCAGAGGGAGACGAGCGATGATACAAGCAAGCCTGGGTTGCCACGAACAGGGCGGTGCTGCGGTGCTGATCATATCTGGTCACACTCCGAAAGACAAAGGTGGTGGTGAACTCCACGAAACCATCTTGGACTTCTTGGACCCGAGTATATTGAATAATGGCAATTATATAAATACCATGTACTGTAATGAGTACCACATGTGCATAAAGCTGCTTGGTTCGGCTCTGCGCCTCGGGATGATTTGCGGCCAGCTCCCAGCCGCACTCCGAGACCATGGTACTGGCCAGGTCGAACCACGCATCGATTTGCTCCGGGCGGATGGCCACCATCCGGTCGGATTGGCCACGGGCGTGGACCCGTTGTCCACCGCCCCAGCTCAGCGGCACCGGGACGGGAGGACGGCTGGTTCGAACGTGGCGGAGAGGTTTCTTTGAGCCGAAATTCTGCGGTTGTCTTTTTGTTTTCGTTCCATTGGGGAACCCTCGTAAGCAGCAGCAGTGGGTCACACAGGGTAGACGTTAGATGCTGGTGAACCATGCGTCGTCGACCAGCCGTGGGTCAGACGTTGAGTGTGGGTGACCGATCCAAAACGACGATATGTGTTGTCGGAGATGAGCCAAAACGACGCGCAAATGCTTGGAAGTTGGAAGACCATGACTATCCGAATTGCAAGCAGGGGTTGCCATCCACTTCCAGTTTCAAGAGTAGGTGGTCACCTGCAACATAGCGTCAGTGGCCAAAAGCAAACCCTTTTTCTGGACCTGTGGGAGGGTGGCCAAGGTGCATGACAGAAGTCGGCTAGGTGGGGGTGACCAACGAACCATCCTGCACGGGTAGTTTCAGCGCACACATGTCCAAAACTGAATACTATACAGCCCAATACATATATATAAATATATAAACACTTGGGAATCATGGATGAACATCCGAAACCCGAGGACCTAGAGACCTCTTTTGGTCCTCTGAAAGGCCAGGTTATCAAGAAACAAAGACATCCCCCCCAAAGAAACACCGCCGGTAAAGCCGCGAGCGAAATCCGCTCCACCCCACCACGGATTGCAACGCCTCGTGGTCTTTCTGGAGTGCCTTGGCCGCGAACTGCAGGGCGAAGCCCTGCTGTTCCACCGCACGCAGCACCAAGGCCCGGTCCTCACAGGATCGAGGTGTGGCAACGACCCCGTTCGGGAAATAGACCAGGCTACCCGATCGGGGGTTCAAAATCATGTCCCTTGCGGTCTATTCTGTTCCTCTCTCTCCCTCTCTCTCCCTCCCTCCCTCCCTCTCCCTCTCTCTCTTTGTTTCTCTGGTCAACCAAAGATCCCCTGATTTTGACCAAGGTCACCCTATTGGGAGCTCCGATCCGATTCCGTCGATGGGACCCATCGGTCCCATCGACCGATGCGAGGACTCAAGAAAACACCCTTTTACCATCGACTGACCGTTCATCCACTTCATCATTTGTTGGGTCACTTTTCCAAAACAGAGTTTCTTTGGTCGACCTTTCAAACACTCATCCCAAACACGATTTTTCTGGGACTGCCATAGGACTGCCGCCCCATTGAACCCTCTGGCACCACCCCAATGTAGGCATGTATGGCATACATGGAGTGTCTGGGCATTGGTCACTTGTTGGGTAACTTTTCACTTTTCCAGTGTTCCGAGTTCCGTTGATTTGGTGAGTTCCGTTGTTCATCGATTTACCGGCCAAAAAGACCACACGGGCAGCGCCCCCAATCGTTGAGGAGAACATGTCTTTTTGGCCCACTGGCTTGGCAATGTCCAATGGATACCTCTTCCAAAAGTGGAGAAGCTCAATTTGTTAATATAATATATTCTTTTGATGTTTGAGCTCTTCAAGCGGGAAAGGCAAGGGGAAAAGCCATCAATCCGAGTCCGGACGTTCTTCGCACTTGTCCTCCCTACATTTTTGTACCCATGGAACGAACGTGCAGCACCATGAGAGGACCTCATCATCACAAATGCAAAGAAACCTGCAGCTGCGTGCAGCCTGGCAGAACACACCAACAAAAATCTTGCTGCATGCTATTCTGGCTTGGGCTTGTCTGTGTTGCTTCGCTCTCTCCTGACCTCAGTAGGCTTCTGCACCATGGCCTTGCCGGGCAAGTCTTTGAGTGCCTGTACAATGTCGTCTCCATGGTTTGCGCCAAAGAAAAGGATGACCCTCGTCAGCCGCAGATTCGCTTCTAAAAGACCCGCAATCTTCTCGACAATGATCTTGCTGCGGAGCGCTTCCGACCAGCCCAACGACTCATCATCGTGGTCTTCTTTCAGAACCCATGCTTTCCAGGAAGGGTCATTGTCAACATTCTGAGGAAGCAGGCCCCGCTCAAACACGAGCAGTGTTGTCTCGCTACCCTTTGCGGCCACCATTGCATCATATCTTCGATATTCGTCGGCTTCACATGTGTGATCTTCCTCAAAAAGGACGAAGGACACCTCACGAGCCATCACACAAACTTAAATTAATTTGCAACCTGTCTTCTGCTTGACCGACAGCTTCAACAAAAAGCCTTATTTCTACTACACATGCACCTGTATACAATATAACTGTTGCTGTATCTGCACTGTGCTCAACAAACCTTTGAATAAATTTGCTCCAGCTGCTTCTCCTTTCACTATACTCACCTTGACTTTTTAAATCAAGCCTGTGGGACTTGCAACTTGTGCAAATGCTCTGTTGAACGATTATATGTTGAATGAATCTCTGAATGCAGGAGTTTATTTGAGCCATGATGGCACTTGACCTCTGTGGCTCGTGATGTTGTGCAGGTTTCGATTGCAACATTCAGCTTATCTCGGACCCTAAGTTAGATGCTTTCTCTCTTGATCACCTGTATCTATATCGATTATATACTGCCATATCATCTAGCCATCATCGAGTCATGGTCTCTGTTCATGAACCTTCCAGTCGCTCCTCATTCCATCTTACCCATTTGGGCACTGGTCAACACCAGGGAACAACACTGGGAACAACCATGTTTCAGGTACTCTAGCGTGAATGAGCTCAAAGGATCTTAGAGCAACTAGGCCAACTTGTTTGGGTGACTGAAACCAACCTCCCGTCGCTGGCAGCATCCCAGGCAGCCCAACACCCTCCCATCCCTCCCATCCCTCGATTGGAAATCCATTGGGTTGTCCCTCACATCCCTCCCTTGGCCAAAGTCTCAGCTCTTAAGGTCTCTGAGGCATATCGCAAGCTGCAGCCGTGCCGTGCCACCGCCGCCCAAACGATGTCTGGGTCGTCCTCCCGTCATCGGGTTTCGACGAACGCCACGCATCGGTCGGTGGAGACGACCGATGTGGTCGGTGGCATTGACAGTAGGGAGTCCGAGAGCAAGGTGAACCCAAACGCTCCATGGGACTGCCATGGGACTGCCGCCCCATTGACCCCTCTGGCACCACCCCAATGTAGGCACATATACTGTACCATACATGGAGCGTCTGGGTAATGCTGCAATGCTATATTAAGGATTCTTTTTGGGTCCAGCATTGTAGGATATCCTCGGCATTGCCTTGGCGTGTCCTGCAATTCAGGTGCAAACTTGAGAGCGAAGGCGTACTGCTGCACAGCCCTCAACACCAAGGCTTTGTCTGCCCGCAAATCGCTGGACGCAAACTCCAAGCAGTAACCTGCGGTGGTTGGCTGGTTTGGCCTGAAAGACATGGCCTAAGCTGGCCTATAGGGGTTGTGAGGAAAACATCAATCAATCATTCCCATGAGTCTCCCTCAATAGAATCAATTTGGTCAAACAGGGAAGAGTTCAAACGTTTTGTTTTCTTGTTTGTGTTCTCTCTCTCTCTCTCTTTCTCTCTCGATTCCCGCGTTTCTCACAATACCTTCCATGATCTTTCGGATGTCTATTTGATCATATTTGATCCTACACGTAACCGATCTGCAAACCGATCTGCAAAAGCGACTCCCGCCACCGCCAACCGATCGTGCTGCGCACCGTGGCGCTGCACCGCTGCCCATGCAATCTCTCGATCAGCACGGAGATGCAGCGCTGCTGCCTGGAAGGATGAACTTTGGATCCTTGGTCAAAACCTTACCGAGGAGCCGAAGAAAGAAACATGAGGAAACTCATAGAAGTACTCATGGAAGTATATAGAAGCGACTTCTTCTTGCGAAGAAGAACATGGGAGGAGAGTAAAAAAGGGCACCGGCTGAGAAAAGGAGGGAAGAAATTACTGTAGACGTTCAATGCTAGGAAGCTCTTTGGCGATGCCCAAGACGCGGAACCCCAGAAGCTTGGAATTGCTGTGAAACCGAACCTGGCCCGTCAAACCATCAGATTCACCAACCCGTTCGTTGGCTGAATGAAGGGGTGCGCATGCGTGTCTTGGGCTTTTCTTGTGCTCTCAGCTTCAGGTTGCAAACCAGCAGGTCGAGCTAGATACTAGGAGATGGATTACCAACCGGTTGTCACGTGTATGTCCGCAGGGTTTAACAGAGTCACTTGGCAATTCTACCAACATTCTAACACAAAGGCCCCTACATCTGCACTTCTAGTGCCCTCCAGCCTGGAATTGGCATCAAACCAAAAAGTCAAGCAACTCGGAGCTTGTAGGATCATCTAGGATCTGAGGATCATCTAGGATCTGAGGTTAGAAGTTTGGAAGGCTCGGGTCGCTTTTCCTTGGAGTCTTCCAGCATCGGAGTGTTGCCATGCTGCTGAGCAACAAGCAACAGCTTGATGTCAGGAGCCTACTGATTGATGTTCTTAAATGGTAATCTAGGTGCTTAACCATTGCCATTCAAATGCCAGGGTTCCCCATCCTGTCTATATATATATATATGTCTAAGTATGTGGATCCTGGTCAGTGTACACAGGTCGTGAAGCAACCAGGTGGTCCCTGAGACTGGCCTCACAGCCAAATCCAAAAAGCAACCGCCCCCTACAAAGAACAGTCTTCCTAACATGTTCCTGGAAGTGCTCGTTGATCGCATACTTTTGGGAATGCACCAAATGAAAAAATGGTATCGGTTAATTTTGGACAAGCATCTGCACAGCTGCAAGAACAAAGTCACGATCTGCCCAAAGCTCTTCCTTGTTCCGCAGGGGTAGGTTCGGAACTTGACATGCCAAAGCGGCCATCTCTTGATTTTGCCACCATGATTGTCCTCCTGTAGTCACTGTAGTGTAGTATGGCTTGCACGAGGCAAAGTCAATGTTACCAGTACCTAGACAAGTTGAAGTTGTATTCGTGTTCAAGTAATAGGGTGTTTTGCGATATATAATCAAGAGTCTACAAGTCTACAATAGTGAGCCCCTTATCGTTTTCCATGTCATGGGTGCTGGGCTCACCCAAGTATTGACATGAACCTTCGCATCACACCTGCACGCCGTTCGCCAATCGGGGAAAATGATTCTCCTGCAGCCGAAGGATCTGCAGGATAATTCAACTTGCAAGCACGACGTTCCAAAAGGGCCAGCACAAAGGGCTTGCCTGTGTCCAATGCTGAGCTTTGGAAGTGTGCTCTGGATATCCCAGCTGGAATGGGGAAAAGCACTTGCACCTCTGAAAGGATAGCATTGGCACTGAATATGGAATTCTGGAAGGCAATGTTGCTGAAGTCCATGTTGGTCCGCATTCCCACACCAAGTCTCATGAAGCTAAACGCCAAAGGGGAATGGATGATGTTGGATGTACTTCACCACCATGAGAATGAATTCTGAATGAGCACCCCAGAGTCTATGACTGATCCTTTCCCTCAAATTTCCCAGACTTCCTCGGTTGCTCTGGGGTCAGCGACCCAGTTCCCTCCAAATCTTACGCCCTCAGCAGGAAAGGAAAGGTTCACCCTTTTCCATCTGTTCCATCTGCCAGTGAGGAAACGAGTCCTCAGAAAAGGTCACAGGTTATGCGCTGACTGGGTAGGTATAGATTACTCATTACTTTTCCTTCTAAACTCTCTCTCTCTCTCTCTATATATATATACAAAAACTGTACCAAGCACTTTTCCACTGCAGCTATCTCCATGGCCACCTGCCTCTGCTCAACTGCCCAGCCGGTGGAACCCCCCTTCCCTTTGCTGCAGAGACCGAGCCGCAGCGTCGGAGCTCCGGGTCGGCCAACCGTAGGGCCACAGGCCACTCGGTGACGGCGGCTAGAACGAGGTCCATGTCCTTCTTGCAATCGCCACCTGTGACGGAGACAGCCAGACGGGCGGAGACGGAGGCGCATCCGCCCAATGTGGAGGATGTGTGGACGAGGTCTGGCGATGTGGAGGCCAAGAAGTGGGCGGATGAGTTGGTGATTAGGAGTTTGCTTTGATCCCTCTTAATCAATAGGTGAACATGGTGAGATGATGTGACATGTCCCCGTGATTGATCTGGGTTGATGTCCGAAGGCGCTGGAAAGATCAATATATATTTGGAATTTCAAGTCATCCCATAAATGATCATATAAATTAGCTTGAAGCGCCTTTGAAGAAGGGCAACACTCCTGCTGCTACAACCCCCCCAAAAAAAGGGCCGACCCTCTTGCCCAAACGCCTTATGACCTTCCTTTGACCGACTTCGTCGACCCTTCCCGCACGACCGGTCGACAGAGCTCGACGTCCCAGGAGCTCAAGAACTCCAACGCACGGCCGTTGCAAGCCAAGGCCAACAGCAAGAAGTCTCGATCCGACTTCCTGGTGCGAAATGATGATGAAGATGGGAGGATGAGGGAGGATGGGTAGGGCGTGATGTTTTGGGAGGACGATGGGCAGGTATGTAACATCCCAACTGTCACTTTGGTTGGTCACACATACAATAAGGATTATAATAAGGTGCTATTGAAGTGGTTGTCAACGTAGATAGATGTAGAAAGCCTAGTTCCTTGATATAGAGTCCCAACTGGGGCCGTGAAGAAGAAACATGAGAAAAGGAATCGACCTCGACCTGAGAATGCATGCAGATGCTGTATACAGAAAGGCTTGTCTACAAGCCAAGTTACTCGATGTGTTCCAATGAAGGGGTGAACCGGACATTACATGCCAAAAGGAACCGTACATACATCTTGCCCTAATTAGGTTCCCAACCCCAAACACTCCATGTATGCAATATATGATACCCGTGTGTACTCCAGGGGGACCTGGACTCCTAGAAAAAATAAAAATTCCTAGGAAAAATCCATTTTCGGGATATATGAAGTCCTGTTGGCCAGGTCCATGCTTCAAAATTTAGGTTCTATAAAATCCTATCACTGGGACTTTAAACTCCCTGGGGAAACACCGGTAGATCTTGGCGGATTCCTGGTAACGTCCTCCCCGGGGATTGGGGCACCAGAGATTTATGAATTCCTTACGCCCACCAAAACACGAAAAATTCCACACAGAAAAATATAGTAAAAGCTGTCTTGTCCATCCATGGAAGTCCATCGCAGAGCATGCAGAGCTGACTTTTTTTCCGGCATGCTCATGCATTGTCGTTCATCATCCGAGATCCTTTGGGGATCTCGGACAGCAGCTTGAAGAAACCATGCTTTCTTGCAGGCTTCTCCATCAAAGCACGCTTGATGTCCTCCAGGTGCTTGAAGATCAGCGCTGACCTGTCGCCCTTCTTCGCATGACCAAAGTAGCTCGAGAAGAACTCTGGTGATCTCTTCACCGTGTCCTCCCAAGCCACTCCTGTGCTTTTCACATTGCCATGCTCGTCGAAGATGTTCTGCAGGGGGAAGCTTAACCTGTACAGATTCAGCAAATCCTCCATGCAACGCTGAATGTTGCGAGCTCCAGCTTTGCTTGCACCAAACGACGAAGGCATGAACTGGAAAGCCTTGCTTGGTGCAGCGCCCTCATCGGCATCGGTGTTCTGCTGCATTTTCTTTCTGCCTGGTTTCTTCTCGCCGCTGAGGATCATGTCCATTAATTCTGAGCTGCCCTGAGCTTCCTGCATGGCGATCTTGTCATCCTCACTCAACGCCACACGCATTCCATCCAAGCCAGCCAAACATTCCTTGACCGTGAGCTTTGCGATGAACCTGCTTTGGTTGACGAGCATGCACCCAGAAAAGGAATTGCATCCGTACCACTCCTCCTCCCCCTCGCCGTCTGCAATGCGCCGGAGCGGCACCATGCGGATTTTGGCCACTGCTTCAAAGGGAACAGGAAAGCTGGTGAGTCTACATCCCTGCTTCCCAAAGCGGAACACA